AATAGATATTATCTCAAAATATCTCTCAGGCGACTAGTAAAGGATCAAATCGCATATTGTCCCATTAGCTGCTTTCGTTCGAGAGAATGACCTTTATGATGTCTTCCCATACTTAAAATAATTCAAAGTCATTTTATCACTCATAAACATCTAGAGTTCTTTCAAGCACTTCAAAATCAAARTACTAATATTTATGTATATGTTCTAACATGGTATAAAACTTGTATATATAAAGSGTTAACCAAAACAGTTTGATCGCCAGCAAAATTACACAACAGTTTTAGCTGCACTGCAAATAAATCGCTTGCGATAAATAATACACAGCCGAGTARTAAACAAAAGTCAACAACGAAACCTATTGATGCAGAGCCACCTAGCGGCGAGTAGGTGATTYTAGAAAAATTATATTTACTACGCAGAAAATTCAAAAGCAATTAAACTTGATCCGTTAAAAGATTTATTATCAAATATGCCTATGTAATTTATTAAGCAGCGAATTTGCAGCTGCATCTATGGAAATACCGAATGGTCAACAATGAAATCAAATGAAACAAATAAAAAAAAATCACAACTAAAGAAATCAAATTGCATAAGTTGCTTATATTTTTAATCGCAGAAGATTTGCACCGAGAACGTGATAAGCCAGCCCCAAAATTGAATTATCGCCGACATGCCGCGCAACTCCCACAGCAACTCGGCGCTGCTTATACTCTCAAGTGAGTTATGGCTAAGCAAATGTCCAGTGATTATAAAGCAAATAGAGGCGCATATTCACAAGAGGGATTGACATGAAAAACCAATAGTTAGCAGATAATTTAAGCAATTATTAATAAACAATTTGCATAGATATCTAATTGTGCAACAGAAATTWATTTGTCTTACCTTTGTAAGATTTGTGCTTTGTTTTTGGATTCCATATAATAGCATGAACGTGAGTTAGAAAAGGGCAAGCGAGCAATTTACCACGAATTGATTTAACGCCATTTACACGCTCTTCATAATAATRCCACGCCCATTAATTAACACTGTTTAGATTATCAGGGATCTTCATTGTTTTGGTTAGCAGCGTTTAATCAGCTTTCCTGACTCATAAGGKGAAAAAACCATAGTAGAATGAAACACATTGAAAAAGAAAGATATAGGAAAAATTTATATAGCAAAGTTGTAGGTAATCGAGAGACTTACAACTTTTCTATTAACACTTTCTGCACCTTACCTCAAAAGTGATATAAAATRTTCAAATAACCAAGCAGTTTTAGGTTTTTATTTTTATCTTGCACAAAAAAAAAATACTTTTTTTACGAAATTTAGTGTAAATTTACCTTTTTACATCCCAAAGACACTTTTTTTTTTTAAACAATTATTTTTCCAACTTATTTTGGCGTAATATAGAAAACCCCAGTAATTTTCATTTGAAAATTCTCACGTCTGCAGTGGCCTATGAGAGGCAAAAAGCATGCAAAGATGGGTGTAGAGTTCCAGAAATACGAAATACGCCCCGATAGAAATAATTGAAACCGTTTTAAAAGAACTGCGGAAATATATCCAAAGAAGCTAATGCATCTTCATCGCTTTTATTCGCGTAGATACACGCTTACTCGCTTAAAGCGAGCCAGTCATTCTACCTTTTCGYTGTTTGGCAACAATTGCAGATTCTTAGAGTAGGCAGGTCCCTTTCCCCTGGTCTTTCTAGCGAAGTGAAGGTATCCCTCTTCCTCTTCTTCTCCCGACGGGTACTGTGTCGAATACTCTCAGAGGTGGAGWCCATTCGGACGACATGACCTAGGCAGCGTAGCCGCTGTCTCTTAAWTCCCTGATCAATGTCGCCGTTAAATTTCGTCGTATATCTCCTACAGCTCATAGTTCCAGCGACTGCGATATTCGGCGTTGACAATGTGCAAAATACCATAAATCTTCATCTCCCGTAGCACCTTGTTGTTGCTAATTTTAAGATAGACAAGTCGCGAACGCCACGACGGTTTGTGACATTTCGTTTTGCCATCGTTGACTACCAGACCCATTTACTTCGCTTCTTTATCCAACCAAGTGAAAGCAGAACGAGGCGGTCATCGGCGTATGCTAGCAGTTGTACACTCTTGTAGAAGATTGTACCTTCTCCATTCAGATATGCAGCTTGAATTTTTTTCTCCAGCAGTAGATTGAAGAAGTCGCCCGAAAGGTAGCCGTCTTGTCTGAAACCTTTTTTGGAATCGAACGGCTCGGAGAGGTCCTTTCCGATCTGAACGGAGCTTTTGGTATTGCTCATCATCAGTTTACACAGCCGTATTAGTTTTGCGTAGATACCAAAGTCAGACAC